TCTCTAGCACAAAAGGCTCCACACCAAAGCATTACCCCCGGCTCTGAATCCCTTCTCCATAAAGACTCCTTTCAGATTAGACAGAAAAGGACAATAAAGCGGGCACCAGGCGAGGCTTACCCTGCCCAAGGCAAAAGCCCGGAGTGTTCCCCAGAGGTCCGCAGTCGGAACTGCCTATTTTACCCAGACGGGTTCCAGCGCACACTCTAGCTCCTGCTGGATAAATTCCTTTCAAGCCTCTAGACTAAAGGCTGTGATGTCACCGCTGGCCCTCCCTCTGCTCCCTAAAAGGTCATTCATACTAAGAAGGCCTTTAACTCAATTCAGAGAAGCCTGGCTCCTCCCTGGCTGCCAGCCCTGCAAAGTGGTGGGCTTCTCTTGTCACAGGCGGCTCCAGGGCCCACCCAGAAAGTGCAGGGTCTGAAAACAGTCCCTAGGACAAGCAGAGAATGACTATCCCAGAAGTATTAAGTCTACAAAAAAATCTGGCAGATCCTAGGGAAATCTCCAGTTAGACAGAATTTTCAGGCCAGCTTTTACATATCCATTCAGAGAAAAACAGTTCATATCAGAGACAAGGGATCCAGTTTTTAGAAATGTCTGGAGAAAGTGGCTTCCCCATAACTAGCCAATAGTCTTCTGCTACCAAGAAGACCGATGTGCATTTGCCTAGGGTAGTGACATGAGCATCACAAACATGTCCATCACTTGCTCTTGAACCAGATACCAGAACCACACTAAAGTCTCACAGAATATTAAATTTTATCAGGGTCCCCTACCTGGGGACATCCACCGACTCCCAACCCTGCCTCTAGGTTTACCTAATCTCATAACCAGGAATTCTAGGCTGACCTAGAAATGTGTGACTTCAATTCCCAGTATCAAAAAAATAAGTAAATAGCCCGAGAGGAACTGTCAGCTCATTATTAGATGTTTCTCCACCAAGAGTGGTACTAGATCTCCCTATATGACCACACCCATCCTACTACACCCATGAGATTGATGGAGAAAATAAATAAATTAGCTTAATTTCACCTTAATGCACAAAAAGGGAAACTATATGTGCTATAGAGGTACTGTTTTCCAAGAAGTAGGAAGTCACATGACCTGGAATCCCAGAGATAATGCACAGTTCACTAAACACAAATACATGGACACTGTACACTTACAGGTAAACTGTGTCCGCCCTATAAGTTCAAATCCTAATGCACAGAACTACAGAACCTCATTTTGGAGACAAAAATCTTTACCAAGAAATCAAGTTTGCACTTACACTAGGACATAAGAGTTGGCCCTGATCCAATAGGACTTGTAATTAGAGAAAAATTCAGAAACTGAGATGCAGGTAGAGAGAAGAGACAGAGAAAAGACAACTATACTGCTGGGAAGACAGTCCTGGGACACAGCCTTCCCTCAGCTCCCAGAAGAGGCCACCTCTCGACAGCCTGACTGCACTTTTGGCCTCTCCAACTGTGACATTAAAAATTCCTGTCATTAGGCCACTCAATTTGTGGCACTGTCAAAGCAGTCCTAGCAAATCAATGCATTTCTACATTGATCATGCACTTCTGTTCCTGCACGCGTGTGTACACATACACACACATGCACTCACCCTGACACTTCTGCAAAATTAAGGTGGAGCTTATAAAAACACTGGCAAAGTCACTGTTATGTATTCCAGAAAAGTGCTTGGTATACATTTTGTACTCTGAGGCAGAGGGAGAAACGAAACCACCAAGCTAGATTCAGGCTGCCCAAGCATACACCGAGCCATCCCACAGCGTCCTCAGACAGCATCCTCAGACAGCGTCCTCAGACAGAAATGATCCGTGCGGCAGCTGGCAGGCAACACCTTGCGGCTGTTCACCCTCCTACTTCCCCAGGCATAGACTCTGAGCTTGGGGAGTGGATTCTCTGAGTTCATAAAAATAAATCTGTGTCACCAGCTTAATTCCCTCAGGTGCTGTAACCTGATATTCTGGTTAAGTCTCAGGGGAGTTTTGGGGTGGGGGGATGAAGCTTCTGGAAGTAAAGCTGTTTTGACACTTGGTCTTGGCTGACTGGCAAGCAATGTGCAACTTCCCAGCAGCTGGGTTTGAAGACAGTCCACACCATATGGTCATCAGACAGCAATATCTATGGCACACCGATGAGGTGCCAGGTCAGTACTACGTACCCTTACACAGCTATTTAATCCTTCTATTAATTAAAGAAATGAAGGTTCCACCTCCTCTCGGGAGAAAGTGGGGCAGAGTCAGACCCCAGCCCATGACAGCCAGCGCCTCTCCAAGCACAGACAGCCCGTCAGAAACAAAGTTCTGGAATAATCCAACCCACTCTGCAGGGCTCTGCTCCTGGAAGCCACTGGGAAGCTCATGGGGAGCAGACCCAGGGAGGTATTTTAGGCTAATGGAAGAGGCCAAAGGAAAATTTAAAAAACATCTGTCGTGTAAGGCAGCAACATGAGGCTTTGGAAGGCCAGGCCCGCTGCTGCGTAGCTGTGGGCTGATCGCATCTCCTTTCCAAGTCTTAGCTTCCTACGTTGTAAAGTGAGGCATTCAAACTAGGTAAGCCCTCAAAATTCATTTCTCCTGATCTGTGACTTCAGCACCAACCGTGAGCCAAGGTGAAGTAGTTCCACATGGATAGAATGGAGAAGAAGCACGATGGCAACGGGAGGGAGCAGCTTCTGAAACTGGTCGTGGATACGTTGCCAAAAGCACTTTCAAGAGTTTTGGGAAGTAAGACCGCTCTGACTTAAATATGGCCCCGTCACAGCTTTGTCTGTACTGGAAGAACTGGGTTCTGCTCAGTGTAACCATCTCATTTACAGTGGTCTCCAGTTACTAGTATCTCAGCGTGACAGAATGTTCCAAAAACAGGGGCTGGGGATTTAGCTCAGCGGCATAAGCGCCTGCCTTGCAAGCAGGCAGTCGTGAGTTCGATCCCTGGTACCGATAAAAACGAAAAAAAAAAAAAAAAAGACAGAATGTTCCAAAAACAGATTTGATGGAGTCAGAAGAACTGGATGGAGGCCAGTAAGGCAGAGAGGATGGCTTCAAAAGCAGGAAAACCCAGCCCTCCTCCTGGAATTGTGAAGGGGGGCGGGGGCGGGGGCGGGGGGGGGGGCACAGTGCAAGAAGTTTCCCTGGAAGTTTTCAGTTTTTTATGCTGCTCCAATGCCTGATTTAAGCATGTAGCCCCAAACCTGTCCCTCCTCCCCAGAGCCCAGGCACATCCTCTCTCCCCCGACCTTTCAGGTGGATCCCTCCTCAAATCTTATCTCCAAAAGTTTCGTATCTCTGCACAGAGCTAGCTCTTTATACTTAGATGTAAACCCCACAGGAATATTTACAATTTCAAATAGAACCCTGTTTACCCAAAGAAATCCCTAGCCGAGTAAAGTGTGGGAGACCAAGACACACCCAGTCCTTAATGCATTAACAGAAAACTGATGAGAAAAGGCAGAGAGCACCAGGGACTTTCCTTTAAAAGGATGACGGAACATCCAGACCCAGCTACGCCTCTCTGATATTCGGGGCACTAAAGAGCAGGAGGTTTAGAAGAGTACAGAACAAACGCACGTGGTACTCAGCTATGGCATGCACCATGAGCTCATTTCTTCCTGTAAAAAACATTATTCTACAGAGGAAGAAACAGTGTGCCAACTCCCAGTTCCCAGGGTATCCTGCCACACCCCAGTGTGTCCTCCACGGTCGCCAATATCACTGCTCAAAAAGTAGAGAAGGAAGTCTGAGCCCTACTACAGAGAGGGTGTGATCAAAATATATGGGGATATTTACATTTTAAAAATTTACTACATTAAAAGACATGCTGCATTAATCCCCCTCAAAATACTCCTCTCTAGCTTCAAATACATTTATCCCATCACTCTTGCCACCTTGGGCAGCAGTTTGGGAAGTCCTCGCTCAGCCTGTGTCTTCACAAGGTGTGATTAAAAATAACAACAATGAACGTAGTTGCCAAGCACCATCCAACAGAAAGGCAAGCTCACAGACACTACTGAGTATCCTCATCCACCTTATTCATTTGATCAGTTACCACGTGACTTTGGCTCTTCCCCAAAGTCAAGATGACCACGGAAGCTAAATGTTTTACATCAATTTAAGTGAAGGAAGCCGTCATGACAGCCCAACTGAAGACACTCATGAAAGAGGACTTCTATACCTGGGGGCAGGAGATATTTGGAGGGGAACTGATGGCACTGTGTTTTTCACTATAATACATTTATTAAAAATTTGAACATTCACAGAATTTCTGCCCTGAGTTCCTCCCGAGTTCCTCTGCTCCCTCAGACTCTATGACCCTATCATCCCCTGCAGAAGGACAGGTGCCATTGCGCTGCACTATGGAGGACAGAGGTTTGGAGAGTGGCATTGCAATCCTGTAACAGTAAAAAATCAGCATCTCAGATGATTTCTATAAGAGATAGATGGCTCTGTGAATTTTAGAAAGGATACTTATCATAATTGTATGGCAACTTGGAAAGATGCCTTGTGAATATGTATGCATCAAAAGGAGTAAGAAGTTTTGGTTAAGAGTGGACTTTGGTATCCAACAGACCCGAGGTCCTCTTCCTCTATAAAATGGTACAGTGACACTGCGGTCTCAGAGAGCAGCTGTGAAGCATTAAATGCTCACCACAGACCTGGGATTTAGCTCAACGGCACAAGCACCTGCCTGGCAAGTGTGAGGTCATGAGTTCGATCAAAAAAAAAAAAAGCTCACCTCAGAGCTTGTCCAGTGAATGGTGGCTAAGACAGAAATAAACTGGGAATGTATTTGCAACACATGACAAAGGCCTAATATGCCTAATAAAAATATAGAAAAAACATATAAATCAATAAAGACCAATAATCCAAATATAAAAAGATATGGATAGACAGTAAAGAAATATAAATTGTTCTTAGACATCTGAAAAGGTTCCCCAACCCACTTATTTAAAAAAACTATGTTTCCCACCTATAAAATTAGTCATCAATGCTTCTCCGCTTTTTGACTAAGATTAAGCATAGTATCTATTCTTATCCGTTTAATATCTGATATGTTCTCTATCCAGGGACAATATATTAAATGGATTTCTGGAGCTGGGAGATGGAATAGGAGATTTTTCTGTCCACTCTGTGCATCAATCTGGTATTGCAGCACCCCCAGGAATGGTGCACTCCCCCCACACCCAGGAAACAATCGATCAATCAACCGATCAATCGCCACCATATGAGGAAAGGGGCTCCCCCATCCAACTCCATCAATTTAGGGACAATTTGTATCCAGATTCAAAGTACACAATGTCTTTCATTTAGCAGTTCTACTTCTAAGGACTTACACTGCAGACATAGTGGCACATATATAAAGTGACACACATCTACGCATCCCCAGTGCCACACTGCTTACAATAATAAAAGTCACAAATAACCTACACTAATAGGAAACTAATATATTCATAAGATGGAAAAAATATTAAACAACCTTTAAAAGAAGAGGACTACAGTTAAGCAACAAGTATTCCATTAATATTGTATAGAGAATACTAATTCTGACGTTAACAAGGATGAACATAATCTCATATATACAACTTGTTCTTTGTAGGTGCATGCATGTATACTTGTACATGCGTAAATTATTCCTGGATGGAGACCCAGGGAACTGATACATCTTTAGAATAAGAAGAGGGCACTGAATATCAGGGGTAGCTATGCCTCTCTTCACTGAGTCCTTTTCTACATTTTTTGAATTGCCAACTCTTTTTGGTGTACTACATTAGCTTCTGAAAAAAGAATGAAGTATTTAATAGCATATATAAAAAGGCAGACAGGTGGGCAAGAAAAAAAGGTAAAACAGTACACATGATGAGCCTGGAGGAGATTAGTTCACTGGCAAAGATATCATTCATCATTTGGAAGAATCACATCAGGATATTAACTGTGGTTTATGCTGCAAAACAGGAGTGCAGGAAGCTCAATGTTGAGGGAGATGAAACAGTGCAATGGGCCTATAATTTGTATTTTACAGAGGCTTGCCTTCCTGGGCACAAATTGCTGTTATAATTAGAAAAGCAATACTTAAAAATAATCATGCACAGATCAACAAATTTGAGGTTTAAAACTTTTTTTTTTTAAGGCCAGGAGTTCTATTTCTTAGGTTTTGGAAAACATTTTTGGGGGCGCATGAAACCCAGGGACTCACACATGCTCTCCCTCTGAGCTACATCTCCACCCCTTAGTGAAACCTCTTGCTCTCATTCTTCAACACACAGAACAGTGAAGCTTTCACGCAGATGCGCATCAAAGCCTGCCCTTCTCTTCAGGAAGTCTGCATCACATATTTAAGACAGACTCTCACTCTTCCCAGCTGTAAGACAATATAAGCTTCCTTTTCCATGGAAGCTAAGCAATCAGTTCTCTGCTTTAAATACATATTCTTCTTTCATAAGCTGTCCATTCCCAGAAAAGTTGTGAAATGCTCCTAAAAACTGGATTTCTCAGGGAGGGAGGTGGGGTGGTGGTGGTAGTGTCAAATGTCATAGAATTTCATGAACTATGTCACAGGCAGAAAATGTGACAAGAAAATCTCATTGATGAGTTTCCCAAGATTTGATCAGCCAAATAAAGAACCAAATCTAGAGGCTGATTTTATCAATTACTCTAAATAATATTTTTTTTTTCCTTCATTCAATTTCAATACACAGGTAAGTCAATTCGGTAATTCTGCCATCCATTTAGAAGACACACATACAATGAGGTTCACTGAATTGGAGTCAATATTTTATTTTAATAAAATATTTCAAAGCTTTCAGCAATGTTTCTAAAATAATATTTGGGGCTTGCTATCTAGTCTTCTGCAAGGAAAAATGCCATCTATGCCTCCAATGTGCACAGTGAATGCTAGGGTTTGAGACAGACAGTGACTCTGTGCTTAGGCAATCCCAAATCCAGAACCCAAGAGCCATTTTTGCTTGGGGATTCCTGTCTTTCTGCTTCCCTCTCCCTAGTTCCTAGCCTTGGGGCAAGGTCTTCAGGTCTGAGGTCAGCAAGGGGACTCAGGGTGGCATGGAGGCCAGGAAACAAATCGAGTCTCTCCAGCAGATTCACCTACCAAGCTCTTCCTCCATCAAAGGCAAGAGGTGTTCAATGGCAAACCTTCACTTGCCCAAAACAACACTCACAATTTGTGAGAAAAGACAATCATCAGAGGTGCTTTTTAAGTGCAACACTTAGTGTGCTCTGAGAATGCTTAACAAAAGGACTTAGCTTTTCCAGTAGGGAAAAAGGTTCATCTGGTGGGCCCAGGGAACCTGTGCGAGGCTCTGCTAGAGTTAGAATGCCATCTGCTGTCCCATCAGCATGGCACTGCCATGAATTACCTCTCACCCTGAGCTCAGGCACAGCCTTTCTTCAAAAGCACAAAGCACATGTGAAGCCAGGCTGCAGCAAACAGACCTCTGATCCGATTCACTCTGACACTCTCTGGCAGCACAAAAGAACTCTAGGAAAGTCCAGATGACCATCTGAGAATGCCATTCTGCGAGGACTAAGTGATGATTCTGGATCGGGACTGGCACCTGGGGCATCAGCCTGAGGCCCAAGGCACACTGGGTAACAACAGACAATGAAGGCTCAGGCCAGACGCTCCCGAGTTTTCTGGCTAATGCCGCTGCCACACATGGATTCTGAGGCTGGTACCCAGCGTGAAATCTAAAGATATGAGCCCTTGACCTTGAGGCCCTGACTCTGGTTCTAATTTTAACCGTGCTTCAGTCTTTGGTTTTAGTGAAAAAGGGAGGAGGAGGAGCACCTGGAATCTGGCCTCTCTCATCTACAGCCTTGCTCTCCCAAGTGGACCTGGACTGGCTCCGCAGGACCACACTCTGAGAAGTTCAGGTAGCCAACTCTGGAGCCAGCTGAGGGCCAGCTGCTTGCTTCTGTCCACTGCTTTAGTGGCCCTGATGCCAAGGAAGGAACTGCCGAGCAGGAAAGCATGAAATCTCACTGTTGCTCCAGAGAGATGGCTGATAAGCAGAGGCACAGGGACACAGGGAACAGCCAGGAGCTGCAGAGGGCATCCAGCTTTGTACAAAGAAAAAGTCCTGTCCTTCACTTGATGCCAGCCAAACCTGCTCTCGACCTTTCTCCATGTATGAGCCACTCCTATGCCTGCTCTTGGAGCAGAGATCCATAAAAGCCAATAAATCACACTGACTATGGAAATGGGATAAAGTCTGAGAACCAGCAGCAGGGAAAAGGGTCAGGGTTTGCCTCTATCTCATCCTATTTACCCTGTAGTGTCCCTTTAATTTGTGGCCACCTGCTGCTGAACATTTTGATGCCCTGGTCTTAGAGTCTTACAATCTTCTCTGTGTGTACAGGTGGCAAGATGATCCAGTGGGAAGGACACAAGTCTACAGAAGAAAAGCTCAAGGACTTTGAAAGTTCTGGCATCACAAACTATGTGATGCTTGTGGAAGGGATTTTCTGCTCGGACGCTCAGGTTCAGGTGATAATAATGCTGTCATGAGTTGAATCATGTCCTCCAAAATTCATGTCCACCCAGAACCTGAGAATGTGACCTTATTTGGCAATAGGGTCTTTGCAGGTATAATGTACAAAGATGTGGTCTTACCCTCAGGACTGGCGTCTGTATCAGAAGACATACAGACATACACAAAGAAGGAGAATTCCACCTGACAGAAACTGGAGTAAGTCACCTCCAAGACAAGGAATGCCAAGGATTATTAGTGGCCATCAGAAAAGCTAGGAGAAAAGCAGGAAACAGATTTTCCCTCAGTCTCCAAAAGGAACCAACACGGCCATCCCTCATTTCAGACTTCTGACCTTCTGAACTGTGGAACAATAAATTGCTATTGTTTTAAGCTATTCGGCTTGTGATGCTTTACACAGCAGCTATAGGAAATGAACACACCTACCTGATAAGGCTGTCAGGAGGTTTGCCTAAGAGACAGCATTCAAAGGCAGCTTGACTCCATGACTAGGACAAGTTGGGCCCTCAACTGCAGGTAATTCACACTTGCTCACTCCTCTGGTTGCAGGTTGACAGTAGGGGTTTTCTAGCATTGTCAAAAGTGGGTTGTCTTGTGGTATTTGTGCTTCTTAAAATGTGCAGATAAGAAGGAAGTGAAAGGCATCCCTGTGGAATAAGGGTCTACTCAGGCAGCCAGGATTGCAGATTTACCAGTCTCATGCACAAATACTATCTCGTGCTGAACCTGGTTTACAAAGACAGTTGGTCCTGGAGCTGGAGATGGGTATGAACCTGGTCAAGCTGGAGAAGAAACACAGACAACAGAGCCTTCTTCAAAGCTCTTGGCTAAGGCTGATGGTCAAGAGCTTTACTGATCACTTAGGGTAGGCCAGGCTTTAGACCAGGTGATTGTTCGACCCAATCACATTTACTCTGCAAAGAAGTCTATGAGACCAGAACTCTCGTGTGTCCACCTTACAATTTAGAAGTGAGGCTCAGAGAGTTTTGAGTGTTGTCTTGCCCAAAGTCATCAACAGTGGGTGGCGAAGCTCAAACAGAGGCGGCCTGGCTCTGGATCTTTAGCCACTAACTTGTCTCTTGCAGATGCAAAAGTAAGCACTGAACTAGAGGTTTATCAAACAAGGAAGATTAGTCAATCTCTTTTCTGCTTTACCATATACAGTTAGCCCTCCACCTCTGAGGGTTCTACACACAAATACAAATAACCAGAGATGGAAAATAGCAAAAAAAAAAAAAAAAATTGTGCCTGTATGATATAACAGAATAATTAATTATATAGTATTTACATTGTATAGATATTATAAATAATCTAGAGAGGATGTAAAGTTATATGCAAATACTATGTCATATAAGGGATATGACGTTTATTTAAAGGACTTGCTTTTGGTATTGAAGGAGGTCTTGGAATCAGCCTCCTGTGGATACAGAGGGACAGCTGTAATCTAACAGGGTCCTAGAACTCTTCCCATAACCTTCATGGCTTAGCAAGTATGCCAGTTACTTTACACAAAATATACACGATATAGATGACAACAATAACAGTCATTAACTGAACATCCACAATGCATGGGCATTTCACCATGCCCTCCACACACATTATTTCAAGAAATCCTCACAGCAACTCTGCGATGCAGTGAAAAACCCTATTTGGCAGAGGAAGACACCGAAGCT